GGGGGGGGGGGGGGTGTCACATCTATCAGCAGACCCATGAGATTATAGTTCCCTCCATATTATTTTAAATCTGCACTGTACACGGCCTCTTCATATCTCCACTAACTCTGTAATGGCATTCTTGAATTTTGCAACATATTTTGCTATATACAAATATAATAATGAACTTAACAATAACAAGACAGCAAACTTAACAGCAATGATGCTTTCATCCATCACTACCCTCAACTTCATCATCATTCATCTTTACGATTTTGTTGTTCTAAGTCACTCTTTACTGCATCTGTCCAGCACATCTCAAATTTTCCTCTTTTTCCATTTCATGTATGCTAGGATGTCACATTACATATGACATCCATGTCAGGTCCATTATTGGCACCAATCCAAATCATTACAACCACATTCCTTGAATAATCTATTGCAGTGTTATTTTTTGTCCTGTTTCCTGATCACTTCTGTTTTAGTTTGATTAAGCGCTGAAATTCTCAATATTTCCCTCAGGCAACTGATTTCCATAGTCGGCATCTTTCATTCATTTTATAGTCCAGCATCTGACCCATACAACAGTATCAGCATGACAGTGGTGTCATACATAGTGAGTTTTGGCTTTATTCAAAATATCTGTAGTCTTTCATATATGACAAGAGTTTTCTGAATAGAAGGAGAAGCTAATGCCAGACATCTCCACAATTCCCATTATTCAAACAGTAGTCCTCCAAGATCCACATTTTCCTCAAATGTTACTTCTTCCTCATGTCTGGGGGAAGGGGAAGGGAAACTTGTTGAAAGTTATCATAAAAGAAAAAGGTGAAAATGCAAAATTAGCAAATATAGAACACATGAAAAGAAGGAGGAAAGAACAGAGCAGATGTTCAGAGCAGAGGCGCTAATGTTTGCCTTTACTCATATAATTATAAAAAAAAAATCAAAATGGAAGGGACCTCAGGAGATTGTCTAGGCCATGTACAAACATTCAGTTTCTTGTGAGAGAATTGCCATTCTCCTGGGAGAAACCCAAAAAGTATACAAACACAGTTTTTCCTGGAAGAATGAACATTTGCACACTTTCCCGAGACCAGGAGGAACAGAGCTGGAGGGAAAATCTTCCATGCTTTCCTGAGATCAGAATCACCCTGGTCTGGAGAAGGTGCAGGGAGCAGCTGCTCCAGGACGTCCCTTAAACTAGGAGAGAAGCAACTGCCAGCTGCTCCCCATGAGCTCCTCACCCACCAGGATCCCCACTGTGAGAAGTGGGCAGTGGTTGGTGCAATTTAGAAGCCAGTAATACCAGAAAGCAGGCTCAGGGAAAGCCTCCCCCAGCCCAGTTCTGCCGGTTTCCCCTTTCCACCAACCCCAGAAACTATGAAACAACCCAACTAGGAAACAAGAGCAGCAATTTAAAAGCTGATATAGCCAAGAACCACAATACTAGCAGCTGCACCAGCAAGGGCCAGATGGTCCCAGGGCCACATGCCATATGCCCTCCATACCCCCTCCCCTCTGTTGAACCGCATACCCTGACCTGCCCCAAGTGCCCCAGATGCAGGTTCCTCCACTACAGATGCTCTACAGTGCAGGGTCCCCAATACTGTGGGCTGCACCAACCTAGGGTAGGGGAAGCTGGAGAGAAAGATAACCCAGAAACCCCAGCTACTTCTGCAACTGAAGCAATGCAAGGGGAGGGAGCAGTGGCCACATGAGATGCAATTTAACCCTTCCCAGGCCACATGTGGCTCACAAGCCATCCATTGGACGGCCCAGGTCTATAGCAAAGACTGGGAGACATGCAGAAGAGAAGTTAATTTTTCCTCTTATTTAAAACATTTGTGCATTTTATTTGAAAGACGGAATGTTTGAAAGATGAAAATATTTTAACCGACAAAATGGAAATCATTGCAATGTCATTCCACCATTTCAAATAAGATCTGTATTAGATAAGTAACTCAATTTCCTTCCTGCTTTACATTCACTAGAATACTCCATAATTTCAACATTTTTCACTGTGCTATATTATATATACACACACACACATTAGAAAATGAACTATATACAGCTATCCTCCAGCTATTTCACCAAGGGTAAATTGTTAAAATTGATGCCATCATATAACTGTATTATTTCAAGAGTATACCAAAGGGAATATTAATACCAGTTTTGGTTTATCTGGTTCTAGAACATATCAAAATGCATATAGGAAGCTTAAATATCAAGGGATTATTAACAAGACAGAAACACTGTGGGAAAGGCTAACCCTATCAACATACGGTATAATAGCTTTACCTTCTAAATCCATTAGTAACAAACTACTTTATTGGGAGAAGGCTCAAACATATCACTTTAAAATAGAACAACATCGGGATGAAGACCTGAACTTCATCTTATTTGTGCAATCATGAAGGAAACAGTACCAATAATACTTCACTTAGTCTTTTCCACCTAAGGGGAAAAGAATATAAAAATAAAAAGGACAGTATGTGGTAGAATAGAGGCCTTTCTGTATACACCGTAGAAATGCCTTAACACACTAGGATCTAGGAGGAAAACAAATGGAATTTATGGAACTACCCACAGAACAGATGGTGCTTTTACTGGGTTATAATCCAAAGAACAGTACTGACAGGGAAGGACCCACCAGTCCATACAACTGCTGCTAGAAGCCAGATGTGCAATAGCTCATCTCTAGTAGCAAACACATTCCCTCAACATTATAGTGATATGGAGAAACTGAGTACTGGAAATCCTCTCATATGGTTGGGGTGGGGAGGGGTGAAAGAGAGATGGCCTAATATCAAACTCAAGTAGATTTTAAGTAGCCAATAAGCTGAATTCAAGGGTTGTAAGAGAATATAACCCAGGAACAAGTTTTAATAACTAGCTTGTTTTGAAGTTTTAAATACATTATAAAAGAAAATTGAACAGCAGTTCAAAATATTTATAAAAAAAAGTAGTAAATACCTGAAGTACTCACAGCAGTGGAATAAGGATTGAGAACTCCAGTATTTTCAGCCCAGCAACCACATCCATAAAGAGCTGCCTGAGAAAAGAAGTTGATCTTTCATAAATTGAAGTACTCACCTAGGTTTCTGAAGAAAGGGGGGTTATTACGTGGGATAATAAAGGAACCAGTTTTAAATAAGCCCAATTACCATGGCATGGGGAGGAGAGAAAGGACACAGGACTTAAGCAGGGGAGGGGGTTTAAAGCATTGTTCTGTTAAAAAAAATCCTATGGACAGTCTAAAGAGGATTACCCATAGGACAGCACCAAAAATGGACAAACCAGTTGTCCAGCAGCTGCACTGTGTGCTACAAATTCCTGAAGTCTCTCAAAATTCCTATGCCTCCAGTCATCAATCATTTATTTTTCATTTGTCCTGAAACTGTAGGGCAACACAAAAGTGGGCCACTGGATTAAACTAAGGCCACACTTTCCACAATACTTGTATTAAACAAGGATTATCTAAAAAAACCTAAGCATTTCAGAGTTTCAGTGTTTCCTTTTAAGCTTTTTGGGATATTTACTGGAAGAATATACAAGCAAGGAGGAACAGTTTTTCTAACAGTGCATTCTGATATACAACATACTTGCTATTCCTGGTCCAGGGTGAAGTCCACAACACTTATAAAAAAAAAAAATCTTTTAGAATGTCACCAAGAACAAAGCACCTTCATTTCCCATACAGAGGATTGAGATCTTCCCATTCGAGTGATATGGTGATAGTGCACTACCACACAATTCTTGCCTAGTTTAAAACTTGTACTGTTATAGCTACTTCCTTGTAATTTCCAAAGAACTGGAACTAATCACCTGACCAACTCTTCCAGGATGCTTCAAAGCTAAACCTCCACTGGAGACAGCAGCAGCAACATTTCCTTCTTGGTCAACAACGACTGCACCAACTGTGTCCAGTGTTCCCGAGTCATTCTCCTACAGAACACAAAAAGAAATAACTACTAAAAACCGCTTCTTAACAAATGCTTAATGTCATATCACAATTCTTAGAGCTTGCAGATTAGTGTTCAGAAAAATCTGATGACTGACAAAGGGCTCTACTGAACAAAGCTGCCTCTGATGCTGTCTATATTATATACGTCCTGTGGACTGCTGCAACATGCTTAAAACAAAATCTAAAGAGAACTTCTTGGGATGTGAAGGTAATGCAAACCTCTGTGTTCATTCACTATTTGAATTCCCTGCTTACATGAATAAAGATGCTAATTAATACAAACTTGAACAGTGATAACCACTTGTCCACTAAGGGCAGACATGCAAACATATTGTTCTATCAGTCAACCCTTTATCCCCATCTCAAAAGCAGCCATAAAAAATTGCAGTTAACTAATCTGTGGGTTGGGGAGAGGGAGAAAGTCTTATAATTGGAATAAAACTACAGCATGGAGCAGATGACCCTGTTCAGCACCTTTAAGAGCCAGCTACAGTGAAGTCATCTACTCTACCACCCTGAAGCATGCCACTGAGGGTCATCTGCTCTACCTTCATAATGCTAGCACAGATGACCCATAAATGCAGTACCATAAATGAGGGGAGCTACTGGGACAGGCACCACCTTTTTGGGAGAAGGCAAAAATAACTGCTGCTGCAGCAGTGGCCAACCACACTACCACCCATCAGCACTGCAGCATCTGGTGCTGCCTCATGCATCACAGCTGCCCTGGGTGTGATGCCCTACTACACCTCTGACACTATGGGCCAGCCACTGTAGTCCTTAAAAGGTGCCATGCACGATCATCTGCTCCTACATGGCAGCAAAAGGCTCAACTCATACACAAAAGGGCCAGGTGGGCTGAGTAACTCAGATCATCACTACTCTACAATTCCTGGGGCTCTCCCTGGTTTGCTTCACTGGAGTGTGAAGCAGTCGTGATAAGAGCTCAGAAGCTATAAGAGCCCAATGTCAAGGTAAGGCTTCCACTCTTCACATGGAATGACAGAGCCAGGAAACAGCCCACCAGGTGAGCTGGCAGGAAACCATGTGGAGTTGGATATACTTCAGAAGTTTAGAAAAATTTCTAGTGCTAAGCTAAAAAAGTGTCTGAGGTTAAATTTAAAATACTTACAAAGATAATATATTTCATTCTTAAAAAACACAAAGTTGGCTGAATGTGCTTTCCTCACACTTGCAGCAGAGGTCAAATCTAAGCTGACACATGCACATAACATGTAAATACAACCACCCACTTTTTTCTACCCCATATCCCTCAAAGAGCTAGGAAAAAATGGGATTTTGAGCCCCCCCCCAGACAAAAGCAATTTGCCTGTTTGTGTCCTGTGAAGTTTGAATCTAGAATTGTAATTCAAATCTGGCTTTTTAATAAAATCTGGGCTGTCTCAGTTCAGAATTATAAAGTTTCTATTTAAATGAAGTTACTTGTCTTGGTACATACGGACATGAATTTTTACGCTGCAGACAATATAGTGAATTTGGGCAAAGCTATCTTTGTTAAAAAAGGATGATTTTTATTTAGGTCCTTTCCCTGGTTATTTTATTTTCTAAAAGGATTTTTTTAAAGGGCAATGGCAGTCGAAGGATCAATCTGTAGTATTGACTGATACTTTGGGTGGGGAAAAAGTGTTTTTTCCTAAAATGTGGGGGTCAATGTATAAATCAGAAAAATATGCTATTTTAAAATGTGAGAAGAGGAAGACAACTTGCTGCTTGCAAGAACGTATCAGGTGATCCACTCTACTTTTTCCATAGGTCTGCTGCTATTCCATAATAAGTGAAGCTGCACTGCTGTAACTGAATCATGTTTCAGTCAGAGCTATGCTACCCTGATTTAAACTTCCCCTCTAGGACAGGAGCACACAAGCAAACAGTTACAGTGGAATCAGCTGAACCACAGTAAAAACCCTCTTCCCCTTTAAATGGATATACTTCTCTGCCCAGGCACTAAGAAAGTCTACCAGTTAATTACAAAAAATAGCCATTAAAAGGGACATTATGTTACTAGCCTCCTGGCATGGACATAAGTTAACATCAGATACTCTCCTTCCTGTTTAAACAGATCCAGGTAAATAGCTTCACTGATTTCAATGAAGCTAGTCATGCAAGTGCTTGCAGGACTGGGATCCAAATGGAGAAGGAAAAAAAATCCCCGAATTATCCAGTCCCAAAGCTTACTCACTTCTAGATTTATTTTGTGGTACAGAAGAACTATGGCTTAATCTGTTTACCACAATATTTACAACCTCCTGAAAGTGAAGATATGCATGTTAGATAATGCTCTAGTCATATATTTTTGCTTGCCTTAGTATCAGAGTGGCACTGTCAGAACTAACTCAGCACTTCTTTGTGGCTGTACAGCACACAACTCGCCCCCGTAACTGGCACTCCTGAGAGCAAAAAAAAAGCAACTCACTCCTCTCCCATCCAGTAACAGCCAGCTTGTTTCTTCCACCCACACTTTGTTATTTCTGAACCAGCTCCTACATCTAAAAATCAGCGCTAACTATAGCCAACTCTGCTCTTTGGACCTACATCCATGTAAGAAAATAAGGCAAGGGGGAGGTGGAAGGGAGTCAGGTAAGTACCTCAAATTACCCTCACCATATTTATTAGAGCATTTATCCCCATAACATTCTCTGGGTTGGAAAAGTCTGAAGGGAAACTGAAGTTTGTTTTGCTGAAGGCCACAAAAGGGTGCTACAAAAATCAAATTTTAATTTCAAAATGTTATCAAATTCTCTCTCTCTAAAATGAAATTAGAATGGGGAAAATAACTCTTTAAAAGACAAAGAAAATAATAATTAGTATCTCCACACCTCAATTATTAGCATTTTTTAAAAAGTTTCCTTATCCTGGTGAAAACCAGTTCACCTTACGCCAGGTTAAAAGTCTCAGAAAAATCTCAGTTTGCAGACGCTCAATAAAAACCTAGCTAAGAAGATAGTCCCTTCAAGACTGTATCTTCACTGAGCATGCTTTAGGTCTTCATGAGTCCTAGTACTGCCCATTCCCAGAAAGCAACTGCACTTCCCGCAGTACAGGGCTCAGAAAAAAAAATATGAAGCCAGACTCCTGTTTATCTGTTACCAAGAAGCCCAGGAAAAGAGAGAGATCATACAAGGAACTAAAAAGCGGTAAAGAGGAGGAATTTAGCAATTGGACAGGGACACGAATTGGGAAGCCTAAGGTACAGAAACTACAACAGACATAGAGACTGAGACCTAGATAAGCAAC